CATTCTCAATGGGGAAAAACTGAGAGCTTTCCCCCTAAGGTCAGGAACGCGGCAGGGATGTCCACTATCACCACTGCTATTCAACATAGTAGTGGAAGTCCTAGCCACAGCAATCAGACAACAAAAAGAAATCAAAGGCATCCAAATCGGCAAAGAAGAAGTCAAACTCTCACCCTTTGCAGATGATATGATACTTTCTGTGGAAAACCCAAAAGACTCCACCCCAAAACTGCTAGAACTCATACAGGAATTCAGTAAAGTGGCAGGTTATAAAATCAGTGCATGGAAATCAGTGGCATTTCTATACACCAAGAACAAGACAGAAGGAAGAGAAATTAAGGAGTCGATCCCATTTACAATTGCACCCAAAACCATAAGATACCTAGGAATAAATCTAACCAAAGAGGCAAAGAATCTGTACTCAAAAAACTATAAAATACTCATGAAAGAAATTGAGGAAGACACAAAGAAATGGAAAAATGCTCCATGCTCATGGATTGGAAGAACAAATACTGTGAAAATGTCAATGCTACCTAGAGCAATTTACACATTCAATGCAATCTCTATCAAAATACCATCCACTTTTTTCAAAGAAATGGAACAAATAATCCTAAAATTTGTATGGAACCAGAAAAGACCCCGAATAGCCAGAGGGATGTTGAAAAACAAAAGCAAAGCTGGTGGCATCATAATTTCGGACTTCAAGCTCTATTACAAAGCTGTCATCATCAAGACAGTATGGGACTGGCACAAAAACAGACACATCGATCAATGGAACAGAATAGAGAGCCCAGAAATGGACCCTCAACTCTATGGTCAACTAATCTTTGACAAAGCAGGAAAGAATGTCCAGTGGAAAAAAGACAGTCGCTTCAACAAATGGTGTTGGGATAATTGGACAGCCACATGCAGAAGCATAAAACTGGACCATTTCAAACTTACACCACACACAAAAATAGACTCAAAGTGGTCGAAAGACCTCAATGTGAGACAGGAATCCATCAAAATCCTAGAGGAGAACACAGGCAGCAACCTCTTCGACCTCAGCTGCAGCAATTCTTCCTAGAAACATCACCAAAGGCAAGGGAAGCAAGGGCAAAATGAACTATTGGGACTTCATCAAATAAAAAGTTTTTACACAGCAAAGGAAATAGTCAACAAAACCAAAGGACAACCGAAAGAATGGGAGAAGATATTTGCAAATGACATATCAGATAAAGGGCTAGTATCCAAAATCTATAAAGAACTCATCAAACTCAATACCAAAAAACAAATAATCCAATTAAGAAATGGGCAGAAGACATGAACAGACATTTTTCCAAAGAAGACATCCACATGGCCAACAGACACATGAAAAAGTGCTCAATATCGCTCGGCATCAGGGAAATCCAAATCAAAACCTCAGTGAGATACCACCTCACACCAGTCAGAATGGCTAAAATTAACAAGTCAGGAAATGACAGATGTTGGCGGGGATGCGGAGAAACGGGAACCCTCCTACAGTGTTGGTGGGAATGCAAGCTGGTGCAGCCACTCTGGAAAACAGTATGGAGGTTCCTCAAAAAGTTGAAAATAGAGCTACCATTTGACCCAGCAATTGCACTACTGGGTATTTACCCCAAAGATATAAATGTAGTGATCCGAAGGGGTACATGCACCCCGATGTTTATAGCAGCAATATCTACATAGCCAAACTATGGAAAGAGCCAAGATGTCCATTGACAGATGAATGGATAAAGAAGATGTGGTGTATATATACAATGGAATATTGTGCAGCCATCAAAAAACCCTGAAACCTTGCCATTTGCAATGACATGGATGGAACTAGAGGGTATTATGCTAAGCAAAATAAGTCAATCAGAGAAAGACATGTATCATATGACCTCACTGATACGAGGAATTCTTAATCCCAGGAAACAAACTGAGGGTTGCTGGAGTGGTGGGGGGTGGGAGGGATGGGGTGTCTGGGTGATGGACACTGGGGAGGGTATGTGCTATGGTGAGCGCTGTGAATTGTGTAAGACTGTTGCATCACACACCTGTACCTCTGAAACAAATAATATATGTTAAAAAAAAAAAGAAGAAGATAGTAGGGAGGGATAAATGAAGGGGGGGGAATCAGAGGGGGAGACGAACCATGAGAGACTATGGACTCTGAGAATCAAACTGAGGGTTCTAGAGGGGAGGGGGTGGGGGGATGGGTTAGCCTGGTGATGGGTATTAAGGAGGGCATGTATTGAATGGAGCACTGGGTGTTATATGCAAACAATGAATTATGGAACACTACATCATAAACTAATGATGTATGGTGATTAACATAACATAATAAAATAAAATTTTTTTAAAAAGTTAAAAAAAATAAAATGCAAAAATAAATAAATAAATAAATAGGTCAAAAAAATATTCACCGAAGAAACATATTCCACCATGAATATGTATGTATTACATCTGTTATAAATTTCCATATAGAGTTGAAAATAGTGAGTTGATTTCTATCTTCTTTCCTTCCTCCCTCCCTCTTCTTCCTTCCTCCCTTCTTGCCTCCCTTCCTTTCCTTTTTCCTTTCCTTTCCCTTCCACCTCCTCCCCTCCTTCCTTCCTCCCTCCCTCCCTCCCTCCCTCTTCTTTCTTTCTTTCTTTCTTTCTTTCTTTCTTTCTTTCTTTCTTTCTTTCTTTCTTTCTTTCTTTCTTTCTTTCTTTCTTTCTTTTTCCCTCTCTTTCCTTCCCCTTCCTTTCTTCCTTCCTCCCTTCCTTCCTTTCTTTCTTTCTCTCTCTTTCCTTCCTTCTTTCTCTCTCTTTTCTTCCTTCTTTCTCTCTCTTTCCTTCCCCCTTCTTTTTTCCTCCCTCCCTCCCTTCCTTCCTTCCTCTTTCTTTCTTCCTTCCTTCCTTCCTTCCTTCCTTCCTTCCTTCCTTCCTTCCTTCCTTCTTTTCTTCTCTCTCTCTCTTCCTCTCTCTCTCTCTTTCTCTCTCTCTCTCTCCTATACCTAGATGTGGGGTTTGTGTCCAGTTCCCCAACCTGATATAGTGATATAGTATTTTGTCAAAGTAAGGAGATACACAGTAGAGATACTATACTATGTCCAGTCTGGAATATACATCAGGTTGCATGGAGCCAAAGTTAAAAATAGTTATTTGAGACATGACACTAAATAGCCCATCCAAAAGCAGAAATACAAAATTAGACAACTGATGAACCTGGTGGATTCAACTTCATTTTGCAGTGAGTTGCTGTGGTCTTTGAATGGGTGAGCTAGTCTGAGGTAGGCCAATCCAGGGGGCCTCTGGGAGTGAGGACCTCATTCAGTGCATGATCCAGATCAGGTTTGTTGTGACCCCTAATGCTAAGTCTGCTCAGTTAGTTGTTGGCAAGAATTAACTGGAAGATTGGTTTAATACACCTATTAAGTTAAAAAGTATAATTATATGCAATTTAAAAACTCTCAAGCGTCTTTATATTTTACAAATAAGGATTTTTGAAAATGTTACAGCCTTTAAATCACTATCTGAACAAGTAGGTCATTCAATGATTAGTCCAATTGTGTCCTTTATGTTAAGTGTTAGTGGAATCTCACAGGTCACTAAAAATCCTGATTTCTTGACTGCCCCACCCCTCCATGCCCTCTATGACATTCAGATGATCTGGTAGGGCCCAGGAATTTGCATTTTAACTGAACTCAAGATGGTCTGTGGGCCATCTTTTGAGGGGAGAAAAAAAAGCTCCAAATGGGTCTTGAAGATCAAATCCTATCAAATCTTACCACCTTTTTCTCAAAGACAAATTCCACTTTGTTCAGTATGGTGTTGTTGGTAGGACCACACAATAGGAATTTTGTGACCTTAAGTCCCTTCCTCTTTAGTCCTCTGCTGCCTCTTTGTAAATGGAGAGGAACATTGTCATTTGGCAACTTAACCTGAGATAACTGGCAAACCAGCTCTTACACAGAAAGAAGGATACTTTCCTTTTCCTTCATGTCCATTCACTCCCTTAAATTCTCTGCTTCTGAATCTTTTTTTAAAGATACTCTTCATTTCAGAGAGAGAGAGGGAGAGAGAAAATGCACGGTGGGAAGGGGCAGAGCGACAGAGAGAGAAAGAGAAGCGGACTCCCTGCTGAGCAGGGAACCCAACTCTGGACTCAATCCCAGGACCCGGAGATCATGACCTGAGCTGAAGGCAGACGCTTAACCAACTGAGCCACCCAGGCGCCCCTCTGCTTCTGAATCTTGTAGAGATCTTTTACTTTCATCTGTTACTAATGTGTTTCTTCCATCTCTGCTTATCCACATTTACCTGTTGTAGAAAGTCAGGTGCAAAAGTTACTAAAACTCCTCATGCTCCCAAATGAAAGGATCTTTGATTGCCATAACTGCCATGCATTCCAAAGTGTATCTCTTACTGCACGTACTGTGTGTTACTGTGTAACATACTTATACTAATGTCTACACCTCTTATCTCTTTTTATTAGACTCCCTAATTTGTCATTTACTTTTGTTCATTTGTTTAAGTAGTAAAGGAATGAACAGTTTGTTGGATTATAATAATTCTAAAATCTAAATGTTAGCATTCATTCAATAAATATACACTTACTAAACATCTACTATTTATTCTGTAACCTGCTAGGTCCTGTATATGAAGATAAAATGTCTAAATAATTGACTCTGTCTTTGGCTTTTATTTGGTTGGGTGGATATATTTTTGGCATGTTTAGTTAAATTGCTTGTTAAATGTTTGCCCTAGAAATAAATGATCCCAAACATACTTTTAAAACCATGTAGACCTATTTCATCAGGGAGTATGCATTTGAAATCTATGTACTATAGAGAGATATTAAATTATTTTTCTTTTTAACACCTTGAATTATTCTTTCTTTTTAAATAAATGTGTATATATATACAAATAACCCTGCATAAGCATTTGGGCAAAGTTTTTAAAATTAAAAGATAAAACAATATACAAAGTTGAAATGATTTGCTTCTCTTCTGTCTGTTCCTCCCATTTCAGATGATGGAAAATTGTCCTTTGAAGAATTCAAAGCATATTTTGCAGATGGTGTTCTGAGTGGAGAAGAATTACATGAGCTCTTCCATACCATTGATACACATAATACCAAGTAAGGAACTTTTTTTACCATTGGATTCTGTAAATGATATAGAGAAGGTGTGACCAAGCACATACTGATGAAGGAGAGAATGAGGAAATATGCAAAGGGCACATTTTGTAATGTTTAATTCTGTATGGTTAATTTTGAGATACCCCCTCTTTAGTAATTGAAATACTCTGAAAAACTGAGTATTGACTTGCAAAACAGTGATCTTCTCTGAGGGAGCCCTCTTAAGGTAGCTTTAGAGTGTGCAGAATATAAAACCAAAGCAAAAATTATAAATAATTCTAATTCTATCATTAGTAAGAAAATAGAATTTTACCTTGTTTCTTAGTTTTCATCTCTGTTTGCTCCATCTAAAAATTGTCCTTAAGCCATTCTTATATTAGTGCAGTGCAATGCAGAGCTGCAGTGATTATCTGGAGAATTCAGATGTGCTTAACTCCAAATCACTGTTACCTGAGACATGCAAGTAATTCAGGACACAGAATGTTTTTCTGAGTAATCAATGAGTACAGTGATCTATCTATCTTATGTATTTTACATATATAGGTCTTTCCTTTGCATTAGTATAGCATTAATAAAGTCTCTGTTTATATTCTTACTATACTTAAAAATATAAAATAATGAGCAATTTACTTATAGAACAACAGAAATGTGCTGTTTGATTTGGGTAATTGAACCAAATCACATTATTTGTGACAGTCGTGATTACAGAATTCTAATGTGGAAAATGCGTCATGCCATGAGACCCATCAGCGTGTCTGCTACTTGAACAATCACTGTCTTGCTTTAAGCAATGTGTTGACATGGTTCTAGGCAGTGAGCCAGCTTGCCAAGAAAATGCTGTTGGGCTACATCTAAGCACAGACTTTTTTTGTGGCGAGCTAATAAGAAGAAAGATTAAATTCATTTTCCTCAAGCAGCTGCAAATTTGTTAAATGATCAGTTTGTAAATTTCTTGACCTTCATTGGAATTTCAAATTCCCTATGAAATCACTTAAGTTTTTTGTTGTCAGAAATAGTGTGAGCCGATAACTGTGTCAGAAGTTCCATTCTGTTCAACAACTCTAAGTCCCTCCTGGGTATTGGTGGTGCAACATGGAACCAGCTTATAATTTATGGAACAGTAGACCCACTAACTGATCACTTCTATATAATATCATAGATACTGTGTCTGAGGTATATACGGAACACTGGGATAACACAGTGGGGCAGGGAATTTTAGCCTAGTTTGGTAGGCTCCAGGAATGTTCCGAGGATTAGGTAGCCAGGAGCTGAGTCTTTATGGGAGAGCAGAAACTGGTTAGGTAAAGAAGGGGATTAGGGGATATATATTCCAACTAGAGGAAAAATGCATAAGTAAAGGCCTGCAAGTATATGCTGGATGGAAGTGACAAGTATTTTCGTGTTACCAAAGTGTCAGCTGTAAGGCTGAGAGCAGGAGGAGAAAAATCTGGAAAGGGAAGAATGGTCCAGACAAGAAGGAATTGGCACTCTGAGAAGCAAAAGTGTTTCAGATTTAATCTGCAGGCCAGGAGATGCTCTTAAAGCTCTTAAGCCATGGAGAAATATCTTTGTAGGTCATTGTGGCGCCACTGAAGGACAGAGCTAATGGGTTAATGGTGGAGAAAGACCACAGATATTAGCTGAATTCTTAAATGACTGCTGGGGAATACTGCTGGGGAATAATGTTTATGTATGGAAGAAAGGAAGCCATGTGAACCATTCTGAGAAATGATATCTAAGTGAAAAAAGAGCAGAGGCTCCTTTTGTGGCTCAGATGTTGGAAGCTGAGATGCTAAGACTTCATTATGTATGCTGATTATTTCTTCTTCATTACAGTGATTATTAGAGTTTTAACAATATCCAGGTTTGGAACAATTATTGAGAGTCATAGTTGCAAAATTAGGTGTCACGGAAAATTTTCAAAACACATTTACTCCTATTAGTGAAAAATAAAGTTTTCAATAGACCTTTTTGGCCTGGTTTTGTTATTTTATTTATACATTTATTAGTTGAAATTACTTGGCATAGCATTAAGATTACATTAAATGCTAAAGAAGTCTATGCAATGATTTATACCATAAGTCCAAAGGAGTGATGATTTCTACCAGTTACTCTCACATATGCATTAGTAAAAGCACTTTTTCTGGTAACTGTTTTCTGATAATGGTGTTCAACCTAATTTGGAGCTAAAATATATTACAGGCTTCTGAACTGTATTAATGAAATTCCTTTTTTTAAAAAAGGAAAGTATGTCAGTGTCAGGCCTTAATCTTTTAGGGAGATTAAGTCAAACATTGACACAGAAATTTCAGAGCTATACTTGAAGCAAGTGATAACTTTTGTCTTTGCAGGATCCAAGTTTTAATTATTTTAGTGATTGTACTATATATGCCATATATTTTTCCCCTTCCACATAACTTCTAAGAAAATATGTTCTCATGTGCTGAGCTTTGCCAACCATTCACATTTGCTCAAGGGTACATCCTGGCCTGAAGGATCCAATTTATACATAGGCTAGACCACGTCCTGCAGACTCATTGTCTCATGTTTATGGTGAACCATGAGATTCAAATACCATGAATGTGTGCTGCTAAGGCCCCTAGGGATGCCTGGTTCCTGCCCCTCCTGATACCTGGTGGTTTAACTTCCTCTTGGAGTCCATTAAATCACTATCCACTTAATGCGCTGCATTTTCTTGAGCTTGTTTAAGTAAGATTCTGTTCCATGCAAAAGTGTATTCTAAGTATTATTTCAGCTCATTCCTGCCATCTACGGAAATCCATCTTTATGCTATAAATACTATATTTGCTGTGTTTGAAAAGTGACATATCCACTCTGAAAATATTTAGAAAGAAGGAAAATATTGAGAACCTATCTTGCTAGCTAAATTCTCCCCTTTATTCTCATGAAGAATATTCTGGAAATATGCTCAATCATGGAAAGCAAATATTATTTAGAAATGTAAATAATTAAGGTATTTTAAATACCAAAATTAAGTAAATATTCCTTATAAAAGGACATCAAAAAACCCATCAGGTAAACCTCCAGGTTTTCAGAGACCATGTTTTTATAGGTAGCTTGTAAATGAGCAAACTATAAACGTAGAGCTGTGCAATGATCAAAATAAGTTTTAACAAGTTAGAAATATATATATATATTGCTCTGTCCACAAACATTTAGGTAGCAGTTGTAATTTCCAAATCCAACTCTCCTGGTTTTTTTCCTTTCCTTTTCGTTCATTCATTTCTTTTCTCTTTTATTTTAAAAAATCAATATGTTCATTTAAGAAATTATGTTTAGAGGATTCCACTGCAGCTTTTAGTAGGCCCTGCAGCCACTTGGACCTTTTCAGTCAGATTTCCTCTCCTAGATGCAAGTAAACTATAACCAACAAATACAAGAACAGACCCGAAGACATGCATCTTCATAAGAACTTACACATTTGAGATGCTGCAAAGATTTCTATACATGAATATTACCAAGATAGGAACTATTTATAGGTCTGAATCATAGAGAAATTTTTTTAGCATATTTCAAAATGAAACCATCAACCATACGTCCCTCCACGTTAAGGGAAGTGTCTATGGAGTTGTGGTCACCTTTCCAGCCTGCACAGGTGCAAGCTTAAGCTCCAGATTTGGTATAATCTCCTTCTAATGAGAATTCCATGAATCATCCTAATTTTTTATTAGAATTTTAAGATAATGAATGTTTTGCTGGAAATTATATTCAGGCCTAATGTACATGGCCTAAAGATTTCACTCAGAGCAAGGACTAGAAAGGAAAACAACCTGAATGAAAGTAGGAGAAATCTGAAGGCATCAGAAGTCTGAATTTCCATCACCTTTATCCAAAATTAACTTTAACATTGGTTGCTCTTTTCCATTATGTTTGGATATTCTGAAATTTTCATGAGTTTTTTTCTTGAACAGTGTAGTTGGTTGAGTGTGAAACAAAAAGCCAGCTTGTTCCTGTGGATGATACTTGGGATATATAGCATAGCAAAGAAAAAGAAGCTCAAAATGTAAATTTTTGTCAACGGGGCAAAATATTGTTGAAATTTTTAATGTTCTCACACTTAAGGGAAGTGCACACAACCTAATAGTCCACAACATTCTGAAAATGCCATGTCGACCTTACTAAGCCTTTCATGATTTCACAGACTTTTTGTCAAGTCTCATTTTAACTGTCTACTGTCTGGGTCAAATATGCCTAATCTTTTTTCTTCTTAAAAAAATTATTAATTTATCAGTCATTTGAGTTAGCCTTGGTACATCTTTTCCAGCTCCATTAAAGGGTTTTAGACACACATTTTTCTCAAATTTTGTGTAAATTACTGTCTAAAAAAGAATACACAAAGCCCTTAACATTTAAGTTTGGCAAAGTTTAGCACAAACTAAATCTACAGCTTTGATAGCTTAAAACTGAAACCACTACATCAGAGAGCAGGAATAGAGAGAAGAAAGATCATTAGGTCAAGAGGAAACTTCCATAGTTCATCAAAAGTGCTCTTACTCATCAGAAAGCCAGCTTGTCTACATTTTTCAGTCAGTCAGAGGAACACATGAATAAATTAACATAATTCCCTGTGGTATTAACCATAGCACAGGTGGAGGAAAGATCCCCTAGAGACTAAAAATGATTCCTCCAGCATACTGCACTTTGGAGTTCCAGATTGTTAAGATAGACCAAATGGTAGAGCAGATGGGAGTGTTGCTCTCAGGTCAGAGAGTGAACACATAGAAAACCTTCCCAGGGCCTGCAGATGGGAATGGAGGGGGGGGTTTAACTAGAGATGGGCAACTGTTGTCTTCAGGTCGAGTATTCCTCATTCTAGGCTAAAATAATTTTTTCAGTGCCGATTAATACTTGTTAAATCACTGAAGCACACCAAAGTGACAGAAATATCACCACCTACTAAAAGAGCATAGTCCATCTTGAGCTAGCTCTAAAAGCTTAAAAATCTCTTTCCTAAACTGAAAATTTCTCTCAACTTCCAC